ATCCCACTGTTTGCCTTTCATTTTTTGTTATTGTTTTCACGTTTTGCACAACCTATAATTGCATAGTATTTTTTTGGTTATATGTGCTTTGTTTGCTTTTCTGTTAGATTAATTATGTTTTATTTCCTTTTTTTAAGTTGTCGGTTTATAGTTAGGGGTTGGGGATTAGGACTTGGGGAGTACAGATTTGGGATTAGGGCTTAGGGAGTAGGGATAAGAGATTAGGAATTAGGGATTAGGGATTAAGGCTTTAGAGATTAGAGATTAGGGATTAGGGGTTAGAGATTTGAGTTTTTTGTTCTTTTGCTTGTTATGCTCCACCACCTCCTTATTATTGTTATTCTATTTTTTTCTTTTATTGTTTTTATGTTATGGAATTTTATTTTTATGTGCGTAACTCATCTAATGTGTACTTTGATTTCAATTGTTAGTTGGATGGACGAGATAAGATTGAAAGCAGAGTTTAGGAGCGAAAAGATAAGCATATCTATTTGTGCAAATTTAATTGAATTTTTTTACATGTGAAATGTGTTTTATACATGACTATTTCTACATCTTCTTGTGTTTCTTACTTGTTATGATCATTGTTCTATTATTTTCTATTCCCAACACTCTTGTTATTCCACTGTTTGCTTTTCATTTTTCGTTATTGTTTTCATGTTTTACACAGCCTATAATTACGTAGCATTTTTCTTTGGTTATATGTGTTTTGTTTGTTTTTCTATTAGATTAATTATGTTTTATTTCCTTGTTTTGGGTATATGGTTTATAGTTAGGGAGTAGGGAGTAGGGATTTGGGATTAGGAATTAGGAATTAGGGATTAGGGCTTTAGAAATTAGGGATTAGGGATTAGGGATTATGGATTAGGGATTAGGGATTAGGGGTTATGGGTTATGGATTAGGGATTTGGGTTTATTGTTCTTTTGCTCCACCTCCTCATCATTCTTATCTTATTTTTTTTTTTTTAATATTTTTGTTATATTTTGAATTGTTATTTTTATGTGCGTAATTAAGCTTATGTGTACTTTGATTTTAGTTGTTTATGGAATGGACGAGATAAGCTTGAAAGCGGAGTTTAGAAGTGAAAAGACAAGTATATCTATTTGTGCAAATTTGATTGAGTTTCTTTTACATGTAAAATGTGTTTTAGACATGACTATTTCTACATCTTCTTGTGTTTCTTACTTGTTATGATCAATGTTTCTATTATTTTTAACTCCCATCACTCTTATTATCCCACTATTTGCTTTTTATTTTTCGTTATTGTTTTCATGTTTTACGCAACCTATAATTACATAGCAGTTCTTTGGTTATATGTGCTTTGTTTGCTTTTCTGTTAAATTAATTATGTTTTATTTCTTTTTTTTCGGTTGTCGGTTTATAAATTAGAGATTAGGGATTTGAGATTAGGGATTCGGGATTTAGAAATTAGAGATTAGGGATTAGGGATTAGGGTTTAGAGATTTGGGTTTGTTTTTTTTTTGCTTTTTTTACTCCACCTCCTCATCATTCTTATCCTATTTTTTTTTATTATTGTTTTTATGTGTTGAATTTTCATTTTTATGTGCTTAACTAATCTAATGTATACTTTGATTTCTGTTGTTAGTGGAATGAACGAGATAGGCCTGAAAGCGGTGTTTAGGGGCGAAAAGTTAAGCATATCTATTTGTGCAAATTTAATTGGCTTTCTTTTACATGTGAAATGTGTTTTACACATGACTATTTCTACATCTTCTTGTGTTTCTTATTTGTTATGATCATTGTTTTTATTATTTTCAATTCACAACACTCTCATTATCCCACTGTTTGCTTTTCATTTTTCGTTATTATTTTCATGTTTTACACAACTTATAATTGCATAGCATTTCTTTGGTTGTATGTGCATTGTTTGCTTTTCTGTTAGATTAATTATATTTTATTTTCTTTTTTTGGGTTGTCAGTTTATAGTTAGGGGTTGGGAATTAGGACTTAGGGAGTAGGGATTTGGAATTAGTGCTTAGAGAGTAGGGATTTGGGATTAGGGATTTGGGATTAGGGCTTTAGAGATTAGAGATTTGGGATTAGGGATTAGGGATGAGGGATTTGGGATTAAGGGTTCGGGATTTGGGTTTAATGTTGTTTTGTTTCTTATGCTCCACCTCCTCATCAATCTTATTCTATTTTTTTCTTTTATTGTTTTTATGTTTTGAATTTTCATTTTGATGTGCGTAACTAATCAATTGTGTACTTTGATTTCAGTTGTTAGTAAAATGGACGAGATAAGCTAGAATGCGGAGTTAGGAGCGAAAAGATAAGTATATTTATTTGTGTAAATTTAATTGACTTTCTTTTACATGTGAAATGTGTTTTACACATGACTATTTCTACATCTTCTTGTGTTTCTTGTTATGATCATTGTTTCTGTTATTTTCAATTTTCTACACTCTCATTATCCCACTGTTTGCTTTTCATTTTTCGTTATTGTTTTCATGTTTTACACAACCTATAATTGCATAGCATTTCTTTGGTTATATGTGCTTTGTTTGCTTTTCTATTAAATTAATTATGTTTTATTTGCTTTTTATGGGTTGTTGGTTTATAACTAGGGGTTGGGGATTAAGACTTATGGAGTAGGGATTTGGTATTCGGGATTAGGGTTTAGGGAGTAGGGATTTGGGATTAGGGATTAGGGATTAAGGATTAGGGCTTTAGAGATTAGCGATTAGGGATTAGGGATTAGGGATTAGGAATTAGGTATAAGGGGTTAGGGATTTGGGTTTTTTGTTCTTTTGCTCTACCTGCTCATCATTCTTATCCTATTTTTTTATTTTATTGTTTTTGTTATGTTTGAATTTTCATTTTTATGTGCGTAACTAATATAATGTGTACTTTGATTTCAGTTCTTAGTGGAATAGACGAGATAAGCTTGAAAACGGTATTTAGGGGCAAAAAGTTAAGTATATCTATTTGTGCAAATTTGATTGGCTTTCTTTTACATGTGAAATGTGTTTTACACATGATTATTTCTACATCTTCTTGTGTTTCTTACTTTTTATGATCATTGTTTCTATTATTTTTAATTCACAACACTCTCATTATGCCACTGTTTGCTTTTTATTTTTTGTTATTGTTTCATGTTTTACCCAACCTATAATTGCATAACATTTCTTTAATTATATGTGCTTTGTTTGCTTTTTTGTTTGATTATTTATGTTTTATTTCCTTTTTTTGGATATTTGATTTATAGTTAGGGCATAGGGTGTAGGGATTTGGGATTAGGGATTAGGGATTAAGCCTTTAGAGATTAGGGGTTAGGGATTTGGGTTTATTGTTCTTTTGCTCCACCTCCTCATCATTCTTATCCTATTTGTTTCTTTTATTGTTTTTGTTATGTTTTGGATTTTTATTTTTATGTGCGTAACTAATCTAATGTGTACTTTGATTTCTGTTGTTAGTGGAATAGACGGGATAAGCTTGAAAGCGGAGTTTAGTAGCGAAAAAATAAATATATCTATTTGTGCAAATTTGATTGACTTTCTTTTAGATGTGAAATGTGTTTTAGACATGACTATTTTTACGTCTTCTTGTGTTCCTTGTTATGATCGTTGTTTCTATTATTTTTAACTCCCAACATTCTCATTATCTCACTGTTTGCTTTTCTTTTTTCACTATTGTTTTTATGTTTTACACAACCTATAATTGCATAGCAGTTCTTTGGTTATATGTGCTTTGTTTGCTTTTCTATTAAATTAATTATGTTTTGTTTCTTTTTTTTGGATTGTCGGTTTATAGTTAGGGGTTGGGGATTAGGACTTAGGGAGTAGAGATTTGGGATTAGGAATTATGGATTAGGGATTAGGGATTATGGCTTTAGAGATTAGAGATTACGGATTAAGGGATAAGAGTTAGGGATTTGGGTTTATTGTTCTTTTGCTCCACCTCCTCATCATTCTTATCTTATTTTTTTCTTTTATTGTTTTTGTTATGTTTTGAATTTTCATTTTTATGTGCGTAACTAATATAATGTGTACTTTGATTTCAGTTCTTAGTGGAATAGACGAGATAAGCTTGAAAACGGTATTTAGGGGCAAAAAGTTAAGTATATCTATTTGTGCAAATTTGATTGACTTTCTTTTACATGTGAAATGTGTTTTACACATGACTATTTCTACATCTTCTTGTGTTTCTTACTTTTTATGATCATTGTTTCTATTATTTTTAATTCACAACACTCTCATTATCCCACTGTTTGCTTTTCATTTTTCGTTATTGTTTTCATGTTTTACACAACCTATAATTGCATAGCATTTTTTTGGTTATATGTGCTTTGTTTACTTTTCTGTTAGATTAATTATGTTTTATTTCCTTTTTTTGTGTTGTTGGTTTATAGTTAGGGGTTTGGGATTAGGACTTAGAGAGTAGGGATTTGGGATTAGGAATTAGAGATTAGGTATTATGACTTTAGAGATTAGGGATTAGGGATTAGGGATTAGCGATTAAGGGTTAAGGATTTGGGTTTATTGTTGTTTTGCTTCTTATGCTCCATCTCTTCATCATTCTTATTTTATTTTTTTCTTTTATTGTTTTTATGTTTTGAATTTTCATTTTTATGTGCGTAACTAATCTAATGTGTACTTTGATTTCAGTTGTTAGTGGAATGGACGAGATAAGTTTGAAAGTAGAGTTTAGCGAAAAGATAAGTATATCTATTTGTGCAAATTTGATTGACTTTCTTTTACATGTGAGATGTGTTTTACACATGGCTATTTAATGAATTATCAACTTCTTATTGAATCGGATTCACAGGTGCTTGTTGGAATGGTATTGGGGAAGGTCGAGGTTCCTTGGAAATGTAAACAGTTTATTGATGATATTTGTGGAATTTTGCGTAGATTTAATATCAAGGTTATTCACATTTTCAGGGAAGCTAACGGTTTTGCAGATTTTCTGGCTTCTTATGCTGTCAACGAAGCTTGCTGTTTTGAATTTTTGGGTACTGATTCGCTGCCTATAGCTGGGATGATGAGGTTGCATCCTGATCAACTTTCTTTGTCTACATTGAGACGAAAAATGATCTTGGTTGATAGCAATTGCAGGCAGCTTGATACTGTTGACGTGCGCTTGAATGGGAGACAGGAGCAGTTGCCTGTTCTGTGCACTGGGTGTGCTCTGATAAATGATGATCATGGTTAATAGCTGTTGGTTGGGCTGGTTCTGGGGTCCTTTTGCTTTGGGCTGGTTCATGTTGCTGGGGGTCTCCTGCGCCTTGCTGGTTTTGGGCTGTTCACGTGCACTGTTCATGTGCACAGCTTGTTTAATGCTGCTGCTGGCCCTCACTCTTCAGTTACCTGGTTTTTCAGCTGGTCTCCCCCAGCTGTCTTTTCTTATGGCGTCTGCTGGTTCTTGGTCTGCTGCCTGGCCTTCATTGCAGGCTGCCACAGTAGCTGGGCACTGTTCACGTGAACTGCCTGGCTCCTGCTACAGTTGTTTTTCTGCCGTGATCATGCTGCCTTCCCAGCTGGTTTCAGCTTCTCATGGATTTGCGTCTGTCAGCTGGTTATGGATCTCTTTCAGCTGCTGCTCTCCTCGTTTTCAGCTGGCGCAGTTATGTTTTGGTTCCTTCAGCTGCTTTCATACGGTTGCTCATGGTGTTCAGCTGGACTCTCAGCTGGATTTCCAGCGGGTCTTATGCAGCTATTTAGGTCTTTATTGAGCCTGCCTGCTTGCCCAAGCTGGTTCAGCTGCAGCTGGTCTCCTCACCTTCTCTCTGCTGGGGCTCTATGGATTGTCTCTTCTGGTTTCAGCTGAACTTTCAGCTGGTTTTAATGGTTCTCCAGCTGGAATTGCAGCTGATTCTCATCTTTTTTATGGCCTTTGCGCCTTTGCTTGTCCTGATTGAAATAATTTTGTTTTATTTACTCATCTTGCGCAGCTCTTACTTTTCTACTGCATCTAACCAAGCAATGCACTGGCGCATCATCCACTTCCATTAATGATAGCTGGGCCACTAATTTTTCAACACCACTGTTACACATCACATTGAAATCTATCCTCCTGCAAGGATTTTTTTTTAATAAGATGAAGAGTATTTGCAGAAACCCTACCCTAGTAGGATTTTGTGAGTTTAGTGTTCCATAAGTTGGGTGGTTTATTGAAAAAGTTTAATAAAAAATTCAACAGGTATTTTAAAAACGATGTCATTTTAGTTTAGTGGTAAGTTTCCGCATGTCACCTGGTCGTCCCTAGTTCGGTCCCCGGCAATGGCGATTATTATTTTTAGGTATTTCTATGATTTTATTTTTAGGCGCATTTCGACTCTTATTTATCGGTTCCATTTGGAGGGTGCACATGGCAATCACCAACAGGAGTGGATAGAGACTTCTCATAAAGATGGCGGCTTTATTATAATCTTTTGGTTTTTTGGGCTCCAATGGCCATGGCTTCATTACAGAGATTTGCGAGATTCAGCGTTGATAATATTCTACATTGTTGTTCAAGACCCACCTTCAAAAATCAAACACAGCAGCATACAAAGCAGCAAGTCGTTTTACCAAGACCACCCTTATCGAGAAGGTGTGCAATTCTCATCTCTGTGCTTCCTTTGGGCTTCGTTTCACTACCCCTGCCATCATTTTTTTTTTTTGAGAGGAGAGGGGGAAGGGAGACTTAAACCCTTGACCTCAAGAAGGCAACAAAAAGGTCATCTCTCTTGAGGACTACCTCACCAGCTGTTAGTCACTCTTTACTTTATACTTGCTCTTGTTTAACTCTGCTTTGTTGGGCATTATTTTTTTCATCATTGTCATTCTCTGTTCATGTTCTTGGGGTGATGTCTCTTGGATTTCTTCAATTTCTTGTTTTTTTCTGATAAATGTTTGTTAATGCAAAGGGAACCCACCTTACATCTACCATCGGATTTGTCATATGTTCATATGTTAGGATTTTACAAGCAATGTGCAATGAATTCAAGAATTTTAAGCAATTGCTTGCTATCACTTTCAAACAATTACAATCGCATAGGAGTGATCCTGCTTAGAAATTTCTTGCTCACGAGAACTATTATGTCTAGATTGAAACCCTAATTCCTTTCCTTGGAACTATATTGCTGAAGAGAGAGAGACAGCTTACTTTGAGTGAGTAGACGCATGTAACACCCATGATAGATCCAGTAGTCCAAACCCGCACACCAAAAGAACCTGCCTTATTGGGAGAATGATGGACAGCATATGTTGGTCTCTTTTGAACAGGGTGAATTCACACACTCGAACAGCCATGCTGGGGTGCATGACAGAGCTAAGCACTGTAAGCATCCTCGGGTGCCAAATCCTGGTGGAGTATCAAATTTTCCTTCCCTGAGGATGAAACTGTCATGGAACCTAGGAACTGCAGTTAAACCTCCAATATGTTATTGCAAATATCTCTAGTTGTTCAATTCTAGAAGTTATAGGGTTGGTAAGTCATGAAATCAATTGCTTTTGGGGTTTAATAAAACCAGTTGTGCTATACCCGATAGACTATTTGAATATTCTTAAGGTATCTAGACACCCTCGCCAGCCAAAAAAGGGGAAATTATCATAATAACAGCTACCTTGGCTGTTGGAAATACATTGATAGGTGGGTAAGGAGGAGTGCATGATGCCAAGTGCTTCAAAAGAGATGCATTTTACAAAACCAACTCCCTCTCATGTGATTGATGCCCTCTTTATGATGCATGCTGACTCTTAGTAGTTTGACTACGTATGCTGTGAGCTGACATGCTTAACCTGATTCTAAGTGAATGGATGTGCAATTTGACAGAGATTTTTTGAATGTGCTATCGCTTACAACTATGATTATCTATTCAATCTATTTACTTCATCAACAATTGTTAGAAAAAAAAGACCGTAGAAGCATCTTCACCGAAGAAATCTTTACAAAAGCAACTTGAATTGTCTATTAATGAGCTTGCTAAGTAAAGATTTTGTTGCATATGACCTATAATTAAGTGAAAATATTGTGCTTTAGCATCTCGATTGAGTGTATAGCTCCATCAATATTTGGAAAGTTTTTTCCTAGCATTTTACAAAATGCTGGTGCCCACTTTGTCCTTGAGGAGTCACTTCTACAGTGATTTTGCAAAAATTGCATATGGTTGATACACATGCAGAGTTTTTATCAGGTGAAATTGACTAGATAGAAGAGTACTGTGCATTATTCCATATGCAATTAATTCTAACTACTCGATTCCCAAGCCAAAGTTATGAACATTGTCAAACAATGTTAAGAGACGTCTCCACTCTTCTTTGCTTATTATCCTTTACGAATTGGTCTTGTTTTCCTAGTAGGTGATGGACTGAAATACTATGATGTTGTTGAGGGAAAGGGCCCTGTAGCTTAAAAAGGATCAACAGTGCAGGTTTGATGGTGCCATGTAATCTAGTGATTGTGTGTTTTCATGCATTGGTTTTGCTACTTACAGCTTTCTATGGCGTCTGTCATTATAGGTGCATTTCGACTGCTTATACCGTGGTATTACAGCGGTGTCAAGTCGAGAATCTAAACTCTTGGCTGGAAATCGCATCATTGCACAGGTGTTTACTCTCTATTGATCTCTTAGCATAACTATAAACACTGGATCAATGTGTTGAATTCTGGATAAATGTATAATTAAATGGTACATGATTCATTGTGTTCCAAGTAGCCTTATGAGTGCATGCTCAGTTAGAGGGACCATTTTATTTTTAACATTGGACGGACGTGACATTGTTTTTTTAAGATTAAGGATGTTCCAACTTGCCAGAAGTTTAACGAAGGGGAATAAATGTTTTCAGAATGATAAGTATGTTGTTAGCAACCACTGGAGACCGTGAGATCCAGCAGGGGTGGTTGGATGTCTTGGCTGTGGCTAATCTTTACTTTTTTTAAGATCTAATGGTGGTAGCTGATTCTATTTATCTTTTGTTTATTGTATTCAATATATGGGTTTGACTTCCAAAATTTTCCAATACAAAGATGCAGCATGTGCTGAATGTGTCTTTTACAAAGTTCCAATATGTGTCCCATTTTTCAACATGTCCCAATGGGTCTGAAATTTTTGAAAGAATTATGAACACTTTTTTCATGTGTCCAAACGTGTTTGGCATGAAATCCAATGAATGTTCCTCAACAGTATGTTGGAAGCCTATGAAATCTAGAAAAGAAGATCATGTTGAACCTACTTCAGGTACAATAAATAAGGCATGAGCAACCTTACACAATCACTATACATTAGCTTCTTGTTATAGACATCTAAACCTAGTCAACCCCTAATAGTTGGGATAAAGGCTCTATGGAGTTGAGTTGTATAAACATCTAAACCCCAAATATTTTCAATATTAAATTATTTTCATTGTGTGTGTCTATCTTGATGGAATGCGATACCAGATGTCAGATTTTAGTCCCTGATTTGGTTTGTACATATATGCAGGTACGCGTGTATGATCTTGCATCCATGTCATGTTCCTATGTATTGGCAGGTCATACCGTGATTGTTCTATGCCTTGATACATGCGTAACAAGATCTGGAGGAACACTTATTGCGACAGGAAGCAAAGACAATAGTGTAAGTTTTCTTCCACATTCAAGGCGGAGCTGCGTTGTATGTTTTGATTGGAGTTGTCACCAATTTTTTCCTCATTTTTTAATTTGACATTGATTGTGCTTATGTACCGTTGTCATTGTGTATTCTTGGTGTTGTGCCTAGCTGTTTATCTATATTTTGCTTTAATAGGGTTCATGTTTGCTTCTCTAATTCCTTTCTCTTCATAGGTTAGGTTATGGGACTCCGAGAGCAGAAGTTGCATTGGGGTTGGCATAGGTCATAACGGAGCTATTGCTTTTTCAAAGAGCAAGCGGAACTTCTTTGTTAGTGGTAGTAGGTAAGTGATTACTCTAGAAATTTCTGCATTTGAGGTGGCCTTTACTCATGAATCTCTATTGAAGCCCTTACTATGATACACATGGATTTTGGTCTTTGTCGTTGGATCTAGATTTTTTTTTAATTATTTTTTGAGGTTTTAGGGTGCTCTTATGGAGTTGATAAAAAATCATTCAGAAACATTTGAGATTTTGGGGTTCTTTTGTGGAGATGATAAAAGATATGCAGTATGGTTAATTTCTTCGCGGTGTTGTGTACGCAGTTCGAAGTTTTATGTACCTCAAAATTGCGTGAGCCATTCTTCTTTCTTTTCAATAACAAAATAGAGGAGATATTTAGGTTGATAGGTACACTATTCATTGTTACACAAATAGATGTATACAGATATGTATTTATGTAAATGCCTTTTTTCGGCCTCAACACTCATTTAGGGTATAGTATTCATCTCTCCCTCTTTTTGAATTGTGGAGAAACTAAGAGAATTGATGGTTTTACATTTATATTGAAGGATTATGACTGCACAAGTGAGGAAGAGTGATTCGATACATATCAATTGCAATATAAAGCCAAACGGTTATTTGTTTCACCTGCTCACGAAAACATTTCCATAAGAAAAATTGTCAACAAAATATAAAGTTCTTTTCTAGCCTTTTTACTTATAAATAAGGAAATGGAATTTTTAACATCTTGGAACAAATATATATGTATGTTGCTTGTACCTCTTTATAGAATAATAACTTATTATAGTATAATTTTTTTTCAAATGATTAAGTACTCTCATAAAACTGAGGGTTTAGTTTTAAACTTCGAAAATTGCTCTCTACTCCATTCGTGTATACTGTGAGCAGGGCCTGGAAACTGGTTCCATATTTGCAAGCCATTGCATTGTGTGCCCATGTATGGGTGCCCGTGCACAATCTTAACTTTGGAAGGAAAATTTATTAAAATTGTGAGAAACTTTTTGTTTTAATGTTGAAAACTGTTAAATGTTACTCTCCTTTTGTTGTTTGATTTTTATTTTTTGGGACCTTTTTTGGCTGGTTTTTCTCCTATCTAAAGTTTTGCCAGTGATTCTGCATTATTGTTTGGAAAGCTCCTTATTTTAAGTTATTTTAGTCTCTTGATAATTGGAACATTGTTGACTATTCAGCTCAGTAATTTTTGTATCGTGCCACAGCCACTCATTCTGGGTATTACTTTTACTGTGTTTCATGATGATGGACTTAGACATAGTTCTTTCTTTTACTATTATTTAGTGAACCATCTATCCAGAAGAAGAAAGGTATAGGGTTAGTTTGTGTTTGAGTGCTAATTGTCATGTTATGTCCTATTTAGTGACCGTACCCTCAAAGTGTGGAGTTTAGATAGTCTTGCTGATGATGCGGAAGAAGCTTCTAATTTGAAAGCAAAAGCAGTTGTAGCAGCCCATGATAAGGATATAAATTCTTTGGCTGTTGCACCAAATGACAGTCTTGTATGTAGTGGTTCCCAGGTTAGTAACTCACAGTATTGCTTCAAATCTCTCTATTTTTCTACTTCAGGTTGAGGGCTTTCTATTGAATAAAGAGAATATGCCAAGGATAGATAGGGAATGATTTCTTGAGGCTTAGCTGGTATCTTTCTTAAAGTTCCTCTAATTTAATCTCTCTCTCTCAACACATCAGGACCGCACTGCATGCTTATGGCCTCTTCCAGATCTAGTATTTTTGGTGGCACTTAAAGGACACAAAAGGGGGATCTGGTCTGTAGAGTTTTCTCCTGTTGATCAATGTGTTATAACAGCATCTGGAGATAAGACAATAAAGATATGGGCTATATCTGATGGTTCATGTCTAAAGACATTTGAAGGGCACACATCAAGTGTTACTAGGGCATCATTCATTACTCGTGGGATTCAGTTTGTTTCATGTGGTAATGTTGCCTGCAACTGCAAGTCTGGCTTTGTTGTTACTCTGATGCTTTAGTTTGCTGAGTTTTAACCCCTCCACAATGATTCCCATTAGGTGGTGATGGTTTGGTGAAGCTGTGGACAGTTAAAACTAATGAATGCATTGCAACATATGATCAACATGAGGACAAGGTGCTGAAATAGCATGTCATTTTTATTTATAGTTGATTGTATACTAGCATATCCTTTTTCACTTATCTCTATTTTTTATCCTAAAAGAGTAGACGTCTGGATTTTGATGACAAACAGTTTTTTTTGGTATACTAATAAGTATCCAGATTTCATTATTGTGTATGTATTTTATGTTTGTTTGTACTTATTTAGAAATTAAATTGTTTTGCAATGATGCTAAAGCAACATGGATGTTGCAACCCCATATGGATTGCACCATTTTATACGATATACTTAGGTTTTTGGAATTATTGATAACTTTGATCTAAGGCAGCTAGCATCACGTGGATGGATGTGTGGAAATACTAATTATAATAGTGGCCGTAGTAGCAGCAAGAAGAACAAAGTCCTCAAATAATTTCCCAAGTTTAGATGAGAATTTTTTGGAGTGTCAACAAATAATAAATTGGTGTATTTAACATATGGCTGGTTCCTGGGTCTTTTTACACACTGCTGTGTCCTTCCAAGTCTTCATGTAAATGCACCTACCACATACCCACATATTGATAATTTAATGGTTGACCAACAGCATGTCTTATTATGTATATGTTCTCCACAGATGCGCCACTGTCTGCATAGAAAGCCGCACTCTCGTAGTAATATCTATGTATCTTTGCATTCATTGAAAATGGGGAGTAATGATGCCTACCACTTTTGTGCTCCTAGAGCCCTCTATAGGAGGGAGAGTTGTCTGCCATATCTGACTTTTTATTCATTGTCATTTGTGTTTAAAGGGGGGAAATCTTTACTTTCATCATCCCTTTCCTCCTGTTTTTTAATTTGATTTTTTCATCATAATCAAAGTACTTGGAATATCTTTACTGCCTAGTTATTTTTTTTCTTTTCAGCACTTAGTTATTGAATTTTTTTTTTCCTGTTTCTTGTTTTAATAAATGTCTTATGATTTGAAAATTGTTTTCTGTTTTTGGATACTGTAGTCTTATCATTTGTTGTGATTGCTATCATTTTTATTTGGATGAAAAGTTGTCCTTCTCTTGTTTTGCTCAATGGATCTTGTTGTTCTGCAGATTTGGGCCTTAGCTATAGGGAGGTAGACAGAAATGCTTGCAACTGGAGGCACCGATGCAGTGATTAATTTATGGCATGACTCTACAACTTCTGAGAAAGATGAAGCTTTTCGTAAAGAAGTGAGGCATCTTTAATTTGTTTAATGCCATGATACTTTTATGGGACAAATAGTAATTTTGCTTTGGAATTTTGCTAAGCCTTGCATATTAACTGGCGGCGATTATGCTGAGGAAATCTGTTCTGTTGTTATCACTGACTCTTTCAATCATATTTTGGAAAGAAATCTTTGTAAAATATCCATTGTATTACATTTATTGTTGTACTTAGTATGTCAACATTCATTTTTTATTGTCAGGATTATGCTATGTGATTGGCATTGGCACATGGCACATGGCACATGGGGAGTTTGGGCATCAGTAGTTTTAGCCAGGCATTGATTTGGTGTTTGGATGCCTAAATGGAGTTTTTAACTACACTTCGGTCTATAATTCTTCAAGTCAAATGCCTTGGCATGCAAAACTAACCTGTACATGTATAAGGGTACGGGCATGTGTAGTGATGGCCACCTGCTTGTGCAAAATTTTGCACCCCATAGATTTTTGGAATGTAAGCTCTCCATTTATTGGACCCGATATTCCCCCTTCCACCAAGGTGTGGCTTTAAAGATAGATTTTGAAAAAGCATATGATTATGTGTATTGAGACTTTTTGGATTTCATTCTTGAAGTAAAGGGTTTTGGAATTAAATGGAGGAGTTGGATTAAGGGGTGCTTAGAGGCAATGAATTTCTTGGTGAGGGGTAAATGAGAAGGCTAGAGGGAGATCTAATATCACTAGGATTCTTAGGCAAGGGGATCCATTGTCACCATTTTTGTTTACCTTGGTGGTGGATGAACTTAGTCATTTAGTAGATAGGGCTATGGAGTATAATCTTATAAAGTGGAAGGGACCTTGTTGGGGTGTCACGCATACAGTTTGGAAATGATACTATCTTTTTTCCTATTTGGTGATGTGGTTCGATTTCAGAATTTAGTGAATATATTTGATGTTTTCAGGTTGATGTTGGAGTTAAGAGTCAATATGTCAAAGAGTTTGATTATATGATTTAATGGTCATAATGAAAAGTTAGATATGATGAATGGGAGGGTAGGTTGTGAGGTGGGGATTGGCCCCATAAGTACCTCGGGCTACTGTTGGGGGGTTAATCCTTTGTCCTTGGGCTTTTGGAACCCCGTAGTTGAGAGGGTGCAAAAGAAATTGAAAGGGGAAAAAAGGGTTTGTTTATGGGAAGGAGGAAGACTTATTTTGGTATAGGTGGTGTTCGCTACCATTTTTATTTATTATTTGTCTTTGTTTAAGATCCCTAGAAAGATAGCATGCTTGATTGAAAAAGATGAGACTTTTTGTGGGAAGGGAGCGGGGATGAAAAGAATGAACATCTTGTTAGGTGGGAAGTGGTGTCAAAATCTAGTATTAGAGGAGAGTTTGGGGTGCGGAATTTGGTAAAGATAAATGTTGATTCGTTAGGAAAGTGGTTGCGGAGGTTTCCACGTCTTTGTAGCATGTTGTTATCAAGAGCAAATATGGACTTACACTTAATGTGTGACATTTAAATGTGGTGGTTAGAGGCTCTTGTCGGTGTCCTCAGAAGTTTATTTCATAGGGTTTCAATAGTTTCAAGGAGTATGTTAAGGTGGGAGTGGAGGATGGTGAGAGAACTTGTTTTGGGGAATATTTTAATTTTCTTCTTCATTGACTGTGCTCAATTCAGTTGTACTTGTTCCTAGGAGGAGGGATAAAAGGGTGTGGGTCTTTGATTCATCTAGTGACTTTTCTTGCAAATTTTACTTCCATGCATTGATTGATGATGATCCATCTTCTCTAGTTTTTGAATCTCATAAGATGATTTGAAAGGTTAAAGTGCCTATCAAGGTGTAGATTTTTGCATGGACCGCATCTCCTAGAAAGCTCAACACTAAAATTTTTTGCAAAGGAGAAGACCAAACTCTTGTCTTTCTCCCCAATGGCGTGTGATCTGCAAAAGTTGTGTGAAAGTGTGGATCATCTCTTTCTCCAATGTTCAATGATCTTGATGACGTGATATAAAAGCCCTTTGGGAGTTTAGTTTGATTTGGTTTTTCCCAAGAGGATGTGTCGATTTACTTGTGACATCCTATGGGTTCTTTGGAAAAAAAAAAGAAACTTTATTTTGTGGGAGTGTGGGGTTATGGCTATTTTTTGGATGGTGTGGAAGGAAAGGAGTTGTTGAATCTTTGAGGATAAAGAAGATTGTGGAAAGATGTACAGAGGAACGTTTTTGGCTTTTCTTTGGGCTTGCAAAGAGTTTGAGGACGTATCTTTGTATGCCCTCAATCTAGATTTGACAGCAACCCGTAGTTAGATTAATTTTTCTCGAGTGTTTTTTGACTTAATTTTCCCGATATATTTTTCTGTTGTCTTCACATGGGGTCGACACCTTGCCCACTACAATGTACTCTATATATTGTACTTAATGGAAGTTTTGTTTCCTATCAAAAAAAATATGTATATCCCCCTTCCATCCGTTCCAAAATACGATTCTATGGTACTCATTTTGCCCTTTCTTACTTTCCAGTTTGATATTATTAGTTTAACTGATGGAATTGCTGTGTTGGTGATGCAGGAGGAAGGTGTTTTAAAAGGTCAAGAGCTAGAAAATGCTGTATCAGATGCAGATTACACCAAAGCAGTCCAAATTGCCTTTGAGCTACGCAGGCCTCATAAGCTGTTGGAGTTATTTGGAGAAATTAGCAGGTAAAAATCTTTCCTCCCTTCTCTTGGGTCGTCTATGCGGCATGCAGTTACCTTCTCTGAACCCAAATCCTCTGAAGGAAGAGACATGCTGAAGGTCAGATTGAGAAAGCTTTTCATGCTCTTGGCAAAGAGGAATATCGTCTACTTTTGGAATATGTTCGAGAATGGAATACAAAGCCAATCCTCTGCCATATTGCTCAGTTTGTGCTTTTCCGGGTTTTCAACATGCTTCCTCCAAAAAAGATTATCGAGGTACTTACTTTGACTTCTCCAGGTCACAAACTACAGATATACACACAAGTACATTATATTACCTTTTGTCTTGGTGACTTTGAACTATACAAGATGTCTAGGGGCATGTATGTGCACTATGATAATTTAACAGGGACTTGATATGTTTCTGCTGGGACCTCCTTTCAAAATTATGTGCAGGGGATCTAGATATTTTTCTTTTGGGGATAAATTACCTGATCAAGTGTAATTAGTTGTCGCATGACTACCGCACTTGATTCTTCCAGCTTGTTGACAAGTGTAGGCATCTCTTTTCTTTGCGCTGTTAGGGTCTTGACACATGAGTTGGACTTAAAGCCAAAAAAAAATGAAGAATGAAAAAAGGAAAATAGAACGTGATCGTGCACGGAAAAGCAGTAGATATATATTTGCCCCCAGCTACTTTAACTCTGAAAATTATATGAACTTGGGAAATTCATCCAACCTCTAACTTGTGAATGATTCCTATCAGAAAAATGTGAATGATGGCTTTCCTGTTTTGTTTGGCATTGTTTTAGATACGAGGCATTGGAGAACTCCTTGAAGGTCTTATCCCATATTGTCAGAGGCATTTCAGTAGGATAGATGGGCTGGAAAGAAGCACATTCCTGTTGGACTATACCCTTACAGGAATGTCTGTTATTGAACCAGAAATTGAGGAAAGAGAAATAGAAGACAAGTCTGTGAAGCATTCCAAGGATGCAGATGAGGAGCAATTAGCTAAAACTGCAATGGTGGAGCAGGAACAGGAGCAGGATCATGCAGAGCAAAAAGAGAAGAGTTCTTCGAAAAAACAGAAATCCCACAAATCCAGAGATGTTGCCAATAAGAAAATCAAAGGAGTGGATTTTATTTGAATAGTTGAGCCATTGCATCTAAGGCATAACACATCTCAGATGCTTTAACAATGATTCAATGTATTTGTTAGTTTATTTATCCGTTGCCATCTAATGCTTATCCTAGAAGTCGGGCTTTTTTTTTTTTTTTTTTTGTGGTCGTTAGAAGTGGGGCTTGTTGCTCTACAAAATTTTGTATGATGCCAATTTTGTTGAGTCTAACTGCAGAGAAAACATTTTTAGTGGGATTTCATCGTGTCTTTCAAATTTATTGTATATTAATTATTTTGTGTAAAAATATTTGAACCATCTGCTCTTTGAAACATTCCCCTAAATATAGCTGTATCAGGAAATGTGGATGATTGAGCTTCGTTGCGAAAAGCCGTGGGAGAAAAAGAAAAACCAGAAGTCTTTCTTTGTTGAGGCCCATGTAGAGTGGTTTGCTGGAGAACATCAGTGGATTCTATTTATCCCACTCTTTCAGAAAGCAGCAACTCTGCTTACTAAATTTATGCTTGAAGTCACTGTCTGAAGATGATCAAACAAATGATTATGGCTGTAACGGCCTTGGCCCCTAGTAATTTCCAACTTTGTTCCGAATGGAATAATAAGGGGCAGCAAATTGATGTGGTCATCCCAATACTAATCAAAAAAAAAAAAAAAAAAAGAGAAAAGAAAGGAGAACCAAAAATGGGGGTGAAAATAAATCATTATATGGCTGGTGAAACTCGAACCCAAGCGATAGAACTGGGATTTACTACCCATGAAACAAACTACTAAATTTAAGAGATGTACCTACCCTTAAATACTTTAGTTAATATAGAGAAGGGTGATGTGCTGGCCCTTGGGCATTATGGATTATGGGTTAAGGATTTGGGTTTATTATTTTTTTGCTCCACCTCCTCATCATTCTTATCCTATTTTTTACTTTAATTGTTTTTGTTATGTTTTGAAATTTTATTTTTATGTGCGTAACTACTCTAATGTGTACTTTGATTTCATTTGTTAGTAGAATGAATGAGATAAACTTGAAAGCCGAGTTTAGGAGCGAAAAGTTAAGTATATCTATTTGTGTAAATTTGATTGACTTTCTTTTACATGTAAAATGTGTTTTACACATGACTATTTTTACATCTTCTTGTGTTTTTTACTTGTTATGATCATTGTTTCTATTATTTTCAATTCTCAACGCTCTCATTATCCCATTATTTGTTTTTCATTTTTCGTTATTGTTTTCATGTTTTACACACCCTATTAGTGCATAGCATTTCTTTGATTATATGTGCTTTGTTTATTTTTCTATTAGATTAATTATGTTTTTTTTTGGTTGTCGGTTTATAGTTAGGGGTTGAGATTAGGGCTTAGGGAGTAGAGAGAAGGGAGAAGGGATTTGGGATTAGGGATTTGGGATTACAGATTAGAGACATGATTAATCTTGAGCTTTGTGACATGATTAATCAGGACAAGATCAATAGTGTTGATTTGATACGTGGGATAAAGAAGCGGATCATGTTGAAGAGCCCTAGGGTTCAGTACTTGGCTTTGGTGTTGCTTGAGACTGTTTTTAAGAATTGTGAGAAAGCATTTTCGGAGGTTGCAGCCAAGAGGGTGCTTGATGTGATGGTGAAGCTGATTGATGATCCTCAGACTGTTGTTAATAATCGGAACAAGGCTCTGATGATGATGGAAGCATGGGGGGAGTCTTCTAATGAGCTCCGGTATTTGCCTGTTTACGAAGAGACATACAAGGTTTTCCTACAGCTTGAACATAACTACTTATTTGTATTGCTTTAGTTTTTTTTTCCTGGTTGCAATTCAAGACTGAGGCCATGATAAGAACAGATAATCTATAAAAGTTTGTCTCCTATTTGTTAGGCACTGCTGATAATCCTCACAACTTGACCAAATGCTTTTAGGCACTGCTGATAATTTTCAAGTAGATGAAGGAATGGTTCAATTGGATAGAGATAGGTTGCATAAAAGTGTAATGGTTTGAAGAACTTACACTGTATGAATTGACCTGTCAACTATATGGTTAATTTCAATTCCAAAATTAATTAAGTTAGCTCTTAGTTGTAGGTAATTCATGTTATATTTATTATTTATTTCTTCTCTAGGGACACTCATTTATTTATTTACTTATTCTTTTTGTAGAGCTTGAAATCAAGAGGTATCATATTCCCAGGTCGTGATAATGAGAGTTTGGCTCCTATATTTACTCCTCCTCGTTCAGTCTCCGCTTCAGAATCAAATGTTAGTCTTGCCCAACAAATTAATCATGAGATTCCTGTGCAAACCTTTTCTGCTGAGCAAACAAAGGAAGCTTTTGACGTGGCATGAAAAAGTATTGAGCTTCTTACCACTGTTATATCATCTTCACCACAACAAGATGCTTTGAAGGTACTTTTTATTCTTGACAGTAAGTCATAATAGCTTATGTAATGAGTTGCACATTAGGTAAAATGCACAATAGCATCATCTTTTAGAGTTCTTGCATCCCCATGATTAGCATGGTTAATTATAAGGCACCGACCTTTCCTAGTTTTCTTGTTTTTTCCAAACTTAACATTCTGATAGTCTAATGGGCCCAGTTATCTAGCTCAACTAAAATACATTTACTTTCTTCATTTTAGTCAATGTTATGTAACAATTGTGGTACGTATGGCGTTGCATTTTTGCATTAACATTAGTTTGCTGATTTTCACAATGAGCAATGGTTATTTAATGTGATTGAGCTCTAGATTGGAATTTTAATGTTGTGTGTGCCACTTTTACATGGTATTTAAGATGTGCTCTTTTGCTACCACTGACCCACCCCAGGGAAGTCCGAACTGAGGGGCAAAAACACCCATTCTGCCAATATTTCAAGGATTAATATTGCTTTCTTGGTCTCCAACTAGCTTAGAAAAAATGAAAAATCGTAGTTTGAAACTTTCTACTTGAGTAATGTATCAAATGATTTTGTATCTTCGCAAATGCAAACATGGAGATATGCAATGTCTACCACTATCGATAGCACTAGAAAACTGGTGAGAAAGTGGACAATTTGGGTAAGTTAAGAAACTAGCAGAGGTTGCCCCTTTTCATGGAAAAATCAAAATGTCGAAGGCCATACTTGGTGGCATAACCCAAATGTGCACTGACTGCTCAGCTTAAAGCAACCCATGGTAGTCTACAGATTTGTCTCTAGTGGTCCAACATCTCAACACCTTCATGGTGCTATTGATGAAAACTTGATCTGCTAGAAAAAGTCGCTGCTCTTCTAATATCTTGTAATATTGTAAGTACCAATGTTTTGAATTTTTTGGTGTTTTCACAATGGTTGCTCACAATTAGATGTTTCTTAGTATTGGTATGTTGGGGTTGTGGAACTTGTTTTATCGCCACCCCTAAAAAAGAGGCATATTGGTTTAGTGTAAAGACTATATTTAAGGTTTCTTTGTGAAGCTAGCGGTGGTTGCAGCCATGAATTCAAATAGAATGTTAACATTGAAACTGAGGTCGAGGGAAGGGAAAAATGGCTGAGGATTTATTTCTTCCAAGCTGGGAGAATGATGGGTTTTTAACTGAAATTTTTATAACTCTTTATCTTGTATAACAAAAGGATTTTTTGTCGTTATTGTATGATATTTCCTTGAAGCTTTACGGTTTGGGATTTTGTTTATGTCAATGGAGCTGTAATAGTTATTCTTCAAGATTGTTTCTATGGTTTCCAAATACGGCCATGTTCTTCACTTCCTTTTGTTAAGATAGTATTTACCCGTATAAGAATGCCACTGTCATGCTTGTGGATGAAGGAGATCTAGAAGTTGATTGGCAAATGATTTGGGGATGGAGATGGATGTAAACTGAATAATACTCTTTTCTTTGTCTGCAACCGCTTCGAAAAATCGTCGTCTAATAATATATTGTTTGATTTTGCATATTTTTGGTTTTGAAAGATGAAAATGGAGGCGTGGCAAAACTGTCTATAGTTTGACCTCTTGGCTTCTGCATAGAAATGGAGTAACCAGGCTATTAAAGAATCTATTTGACATGGTCCACTTTCTAAACAACTTCGTCATGCTATTGAGTATTGATGATAAGATAACCCACTCATCTTGGAAGAGGTGGTTGCATATAGGTATGGATGTAGCAGTGTGACGACCAACATGCATTTTGGGTCCATTGTGATCGTTGTTTACATGTATATTAGTTTTCCAATGTCACTAGACACCCATGCTAGGTATATTAGTTTTCCAATGTTGCTAAACACCCATGCCAAAAAAAAAAAAAAACAGACTCATTTTTTTTGAGATTGTTTTAGTTGGATTCTCAGATGTGTTCGTCAGGAATTTACCTGAGAAAGAATTTAGTGCTTCCAGCGGGGAGAGCTATAGTTGTTGGTTGCATTTGTGAAAAAGTTCATTCAGTGATCCATTCTGTATAACACGTGATTTTTTTGAAACCCTGAAAGTGCCAGACTAGTGGCTAACTTAATTGACCATAGGCTATTGCTTACTATTTGTATTTCATTTTGTACATCTGTACTAAGTCATTTTGGAGCCCGTGCTATGCATTAGGGCAGAAGTTTGATAATTTTTTTCCCCTGTTCAAAATTTGGAGTTTTCTAGCTGGTGGTATTGCTACTGGTCAGATTGTGATATTCAAGTCAATGTTTCCTCCACATTTCTAAACACTTTCCGAATTGTTTTGGCAGGATGACTTGATAGCCACACTTGTACAACAGTGTCACCAATCCCAATTTACTGTGCAAAGAATCATTGTGACCGTTGGGGATAACGAGGCCTTGCTCTTTGAAGCCTTAAATGTGAATGATGAAATTCAGAAAGTCCTATCCAAGTACGAAGAAATGAATAAATCCTCAGGGATTCCCCGGGAGCCAGAACCTGCAATGATATCTATTGCTGTTGAGCCTGATGAATCGCCTCGTTTAGGCAAAGAAGAGGCCCTGATAAGAAAACCACCGAGCTCTCATGGTGGAGCCACGTGAGGGAGCAATGATGACATGATGGATGATCTTGACGAGATGATCTTCAGTAAGAAAGCAGGTGGAACATCTGAAGTGGGGCATGATACAAAAAAACAACAATCATCACCAAAAGATGATCTGATCAGCTTTTGAGTTTCATCTACAGATAAAATTTTCGGGTGGAGCAGAAGAGGCCTTTGATGATGTTGGCATCAGTCCATTTAGGTGTTGTTGGCATGAAGTTCAATGACTAAAACCATCATGAACGGGACTCCATACTTTCTTTCTTTTTTTTCACATGGTTTAATACTTAAGACTCCTATTTCATTGTTAAAGCATATATTGTGGAAGTAATTCATGTTTTAGCTTGGGTGGATTGTTCACGAGACATGTGACAATATGTTTAATATGAACATATCTGGTGGCGGTGGGATCTAATGTTTGATGTAGTTGTGTAAATGGATGATATGTTTATATACATCCTGACCTGTTCGTTTGTATTTTGGTTCTCATCTTTGCTGCATTGCATTTGCCTAGTGATGTCACGGTGTTGGAGGATGGGTACGGTTTCGCTTCTTTTCATTGACCCAACCCAAGGAGATGGAAAACAAGTCTTTGCCTGAGATATATTTGTTGTGGCAGTGCATGATTTACTGAATTGATATCAAACCCAGTAATGGCATAGCATTGCAAGGGGCTTATAGGTTAGGGTGGAAATAAGTTTTGTTAAAAAATAGGGTAAATTACATTCATCTCCCTTAAAGTTTGATCAAATAACAATTTGACTCTCTTTTGTTTGAAAAATAACACTGACCTTTCTTGTCATTAACAACCATTCTATTTGACTAACAGCAGCAAAAAAATGACTATAATACCCTCAACCCAAAATATGTTTGAAGAAGTGAGGTTATCTCCTTCATCCTTGGTGGGCTTATTTGTTTAAACCAAAGGTAGGAGAATCACTTAGAGGAAAAGAGTTGCTGGCAGCCATGAATGTTCAGGTTTCTTATCAGTTAAGAACTAGAGCATTTTGGGTTAGTTGGTTGCCTCCTCCAGAGGGTGTTCTGAAGCTGAATGTAGATGGTGCATCCCAAGGTAATCTAGGTCTGTTAGGGGGGAGTTGTGTTGAGAAATCAGCGGGGACCCTCAGAAATTGTGGTCAACAAGCTATTTGGAAACATCTTCACTTTTTGTTTCGAAATGATAGAACTCTCGAGTAGAGTGGCAATCGTGTCGTGTTCGGGTCGTGTCACATTGGATTTAAGACACAGTCGTGCAGATCTGTGTGTGTGTGGAAGAGAGAGAGATGCAGTCGTGCAGATGAACAAATCTACGTGTATGTGTGTGAGAGAGAGAGGGAGAGAGAAAGAGAGACCCTGGTCTGGTTGGTGGTCAGTGAGGGCCTACGAAAGGTAGACGGACGCGATGGTTACCGACAATGAGGAGGATGGAGAGGCGAGAGAGTTAATGTGAGGTTTGAGATGTGAAATGAATTTATATTTAGAGATCCAACAATTAAGTGCATTTATATAGTGTCGAGTTATTTGAGTTGAAAAACGGGTTAAGCGGGTTTGTGTCAACTCGATTAAATACACGGGTTAATTGGGTAAATTTCGAGTAGAGCGGGTTGAACCCGAACACGACCCTTTATTATTTCGTGTTGGCGGGTCGTGTCATATAATGGGTTCATGACAAAAAATAGTCAACTCAAACCCATTTATTCGTATCCTGTTTATGTCAGGTTATTGTGTCGTGTTAAAAATTGTCACCCCTAGGTATGTTTGACCTTGACCCAGACCCGAGTCATCAACAGTTAAGTTACTCGATCCGACCCTAGAATGGATTTGCTTCCTTCCAACCAGTGTTAGTTGAAATATCACCCTTACATTAAATTAAACATTTGGTAGTTAGGTTTAGCTTTGAAGTACTCTGGTTAACATTCAAATTAAACAATTTTTTTTTTCTCAAAAGGATTGTTTACGCTGAGTGCTAGTGCTAGTGTTAGGAAAGGGAAAGGAAGATCCAAGCTCCACCTACATGTGCGAGTGCAACTTAGAAAAGAGTGGCTCTGGCATAAGGTCACAAAATTACAACTAGACTCCTTTAAGTTCGTCTTTTAATCATTTAAACCCCTGATATTTAAAATACTATACATAAATCTCTTAAAGTTTGTACGCTTATAACACTTAAACTCTTGCCATCAATGTGTGTTAGTATATATGTTAATAAATTATATCTAGCCCCCTTAAATTTTATAAGTATGTAACCCTTAGACTTCACAATTTAAAATATTACATTTAGACTAATTATTGGTTATAGAATTAACAAAATTTATTAAGCGACCAAATTACTCCAATTAAAGATAAAAGATATTGTGTTAAGTACCGTTTGACCCCTTATTTGATTTTTTAATTTTATTCCAATAGATAGTATAATTGTATACTAATTATAATTTTTTTGACATTCATATAGTAGAATACTACTATACTAAAGTAGCTATCCTACTTTATGGATAACTTTAGTATATTGGTTAAAAAATTTAAAATATTTGACATTCTATCTCTAATTAGAGTATTTTTTTATCTAAGTAGAATATTTTAAATTTGAGAGATTTAAATATATACTTAAAAATTTTGGCAGGTATTAATATAATTTATTAATCGATAGACTAATGGACATTTTATGGCAGGAGTCTTAAGTGTTACACGTATACTAATCTTAAGTGATCTATATGTAATATTTAAATTATCAGAAGTCTAAGTGATTAAGTGACAAATTTCAATGGGTCCCAATATAACCCATATACTTTGAGGCGGCAGTGAAATACCCCTGTACTTTTAAAAATTATAAAACAAGAATATCATAATTTAATAAAAAAATTAAATAAAAAAATAAAATTTCATGCACAAATATGTGAAAAATTATTATATTTTGAACTATATTTTGTCTGAAAATGACAATTATAATTTATAAGGTTAATTGCAAAATAACTCCTGTACTTATGGACGGAAGTAAATAACTCGACTTAACTTTAAACTTTTGTACTAAAATTCCTTGAACTTATGACCATATTATAAAAGTGGATGTCTATCACATAACTCTTAAAAATACCAAAATACTATTATTATTTTATTTAATGTTAATATAAATGTCATCACTTAACCTAAACACCATCTCTACTTCACCCTTTCCCATTTGGGTATTTTTTTTTTCTCTCCATCCCTTCTCCCATACCCAAGTCTCTTTCTTTCCTTTCTCTTTGAATTTTTTTCTACTCTTTCCATCCAATTCTTTTTTTTTTTTTTGAAAATTTTTCTCCTCCTTTCTATTCCTTCTATATTTATTAATGTGCTTCCTTCATGACTCGCTACTCAACTTCCAAGTTGTGTACGCATAACCCATATGTATCTCTATTTAGCTATTACCTCCACCTTCTTAGTTTTGTTTTTTGTTTATAATTCGTAATAAAAATCAACACCCTTGAAAATTCCACCCTTTATATACTTAATTGTTTTCAAGAGAGTCTCTTATTATATAAGTTTATATTTATTTATTGGATGGGACATTACTCTCGCTCTCTCCCCTTTCCCCTTTCATCACATGGCAACCGACAATGATGCTTATACATAGCAAGAGTTTCTCAATAGTGAAGACCAAACAACAAAACAGGATCATCTGAATAAGACCAATCTTCTATATACATCTATTTCTAAAATTGGAAGGTTTTCAAGTAGGGATACTTTTTGGAGTAATATACTTGTTGCCAACAAGCACCAATGTTTGCGATACAAGACATATGCTGATTACTTAAAGGAGTTGAAATGAAAATTCTCACATCGTAACCCATGACAAAAATTCCTCCTATCAAATTTACTAATCCCAAAGTGAAAATATTCACTGAAATACCATACAAACACAAATCAATGACCAATATACATACAAACTTTTGGGACTCAAAGTTAACTAGTAGTTGATAAAATAGTATACCCTCAACAAACTTGTAACACAAAAGGCAAAAGCAGTCATTTTTCGGTAATCCACCAACGAGCCAATTTCATGGATGACACATCTTTCCTACACCAAAAGTAAGTTTCCAAGTTATTTACTAAATCAGTATAATAAATTTAAAGGACAATGAATTGAGGCCTTTAGTTATTGATATAAAACCAAAAGCCAATTTAAACTAGACTGCATCTGAGGTGGCTTAGTATGGGTTCAGGAGCAAGACAATGACTCTCTTTCCATTGAGATTGAACTTTTGACATATGCAAAAGCTCATTGGGCTTGAGCCAGGCTAGCATCCATATCCTTACCTTCAGAGCAGAAATGAATAGTAGAAAAAGATCTCTTTGCAATCCACCTTCATAAAGGTTATCTGGTGCACGGTTTAACGAAGCAACAAGGATCTACACTTGAAAACACACACAATCCATGTCATCTTCTAGTAGAGCATATATAGTTCAACAGGACAGAGGGATTATAAACACGCAGAATATAGTAAGGTTAAATAACTTAACAGCTCCATTGCTGAATAGATGACCAAACAGACGGTTTAGTATTAATGCATCAGCAACATCAGTCACCTATGGAAAACCCTACAGTGGGACATGAAAAATCGCACCAGAGCAAACACTAGATAGAATCCATATACAAAAGCAACAAAACTAGGGTGCTAGTCTATAATACCATGAATTCATAAAGACATAACGAAACTAATTCATCATATATCTCTCCTACAACAACTTCAAGGGGATCTACCACACCCTTGTGTTTTTGCAATAACATAATATTTAACCATTTAAGTTTAATTTCTTCTTCAGGATTAGCATATATCACCTAGTGCTACATAACTCAGCATAATAAGATATAGTTTGGTCCAAAAGGGAACTAGACTTAAACACTTCTAGGATTTTAGCTATCTTGACCATGATTCAAAAATTAAGAAATATATATAAAAAAAAAAGCAATTCATTGAAAGGAAATAAAAAGGATGGATGTTAAAATAAATGCTGCACAACATTCTCTCATGGAAAAATATTCATCGTAGAAAAAAATTCAAAAAATTAATAATAAATCATAGTTGAATTCAAATTCAGCACCGCCAATTTTTTTAGTCTGCAGACGATACTTACTTTTTATTTTAATAAGTTGGA